TTAATAAACTAGTGTTTTATGAGTCAGTGTCATGATGATCCTGATGATCCTGACTCGCCATCTTCATCGTTGGATGCGCCTTTAGAAAGAAATTCATCTTTACGATAAGAGTATTAAGAGTATTTGTTTTGGATTTTTGGATTTGAATTATTTCGTTTTGTAGGCATTTAAAGCTTTCTATAGATATATTCATAATGTCTGTAAGGAAAATATTCGCTGAGTTTCGGTTCATTTTTGTGAACACAACGTTTTCTTGATATTGTGAGTGCACACAAATAAAAATAGACCCTTTACAGTTCCGAACGATGTATCATTCTTACCTTTATGAGCAAAAATGACGGCGTATTTAATTTGTTTCCACTGATGTCCTGAAGCGCGCTTCAACTTCCACTCTCCGCACAAACGATTGGATATGCACCTAATAGCGCATATTTATATAGGTTAAATGTGTGTATTTATAAATACATAATATACACAGTACACATACATAAATAATGTAAAAAACTTTTATTTTGGATGCGATTAATCGTTTGACAGCACTAGTTCACATACTTTTGAAAAACCAGCGTTTAATTGATCCTGATAAGCGCTCGCAGTTGTGAACAAGACGGCTTTCTTCTTTCGTAAGGGGGTTTGGCGTCACGGCATCTATGTTTCCAGGCGGAACGTTAAAGAACGCGACACACATGTCTCCCGGAAATCCTGTAAAATTTAACCAATCCGATGACGACTTCGAAACTCCTGAAGTGTTTCCACTTTTGTGTGCCATACGCATCAGACGTTCAGCCAGCGGTCCGTGGGCGTGACGTCTGAGGCTGAGACTACTGTGGAACTAACAGCAGGTGAACTTACATCTCTGTCCACAGTGGTGGCGAAACTGACGGCCTCTTTCTGAGTGCAGTTCACGGCTTTCTGTAGTGTATAGATGACCTGCTCGTACGTGTGGACCTCATCATTGAACAGCATGCAGTAGTACGTGTCTCCACGCGCCCTTGAGAACAAAATAAGCAAGTTACATTTCTCCCAATATACTAACATGCAGTAATGAAAAGCAATCATAAAACATACCCCCCCAAAAACGTATCTTCCGATTAGGGATATTAAGGATTTAACACCAATAAGCTCCTCAGTCATTTTTGGCTGATTTTGTTTTGTTGTTTAAAATAATCGTTTGCTCAATCTGAATGTTGCAAAACTTGGTGACTTTATTAGATATGCAATCTGAACAAAAAAAAGGACTTCAATTGATTCTAAATGGCCATAAAAAAAGTGACACATTGGCTGACAAAACTGACTGACCACAGGAAGTGAATGGAAAAGAGCCATTTTTATAGATTAAAATCTATATATCAGCTACAATGTTGAAAAAAAAAACACAGATATAAAGCGGTGAGACACACAACCATGCACACACAGAGAGAGAGCAAAATGAATGTATGTCTATGACAGTAAGCATTACTGCAAAAATGACACTTCAAAATTAACTTTGACAAGTGATAGTTAGATAATAGACATTTTCAAAGCATAACATCTAGAATTATTGTGCAGCATTTGGATGCATAGAAAACATCAACCATCTACTGGCAATTAGTGTCATTTTTTTTCTTTTCTTTTTTTGACAGTAATCTGGCCAAAATAAATGATAAATTCATAAATGTTCTTTGTTTCAACTCAAAGAAGTGTACAGTTTAGTTCCAAAAATTTGTGTATTTGCTTATACAAATAATGTTAAAATAAAAAAAAGTGTACACAAATAAAATCTAAAGAGCTACATGACCTAAAATCCCAACAGAAGTAATTTCATGTTAGTACTTCAGAGAAATCAGTTTTACGTCATTTCATAAAAAATTTAAAAAAGTTACACTCTTACTGTTCCTGGTCAATATGTGACCTTTCTTCGAAACGCTAAAGAGGGTTAAGAGACCTGGTATGAGTGCTAATGTGTCTTACGGTGGCTCAAGGCCTTCAGGTAGCTCGTCCTCTTTTTCCCAGGTGAGCATGTCCACAGCATATTTGAGGATGATGGAGAAAACATTATATGTGCGAGCAATCATCTCATCAGACAGATTAGCCAACGGATCCTGCCAAACAAAACAGGGAACACAAGGGTTTGTTTCCAATTTAACCCATATACTGCTCTAATAATCTTCAAGATTTAGTTAATAGGATGTAATGTTGTGCCTATGAATATTGCATCATGCTATTTGAGCTTTATTAAAACTATTTGCACTGATTTATTCTGTTGGTTACATTTTGTTCCTTTGTGCAGTGGCTCAGGAGAGTTTGAATAAACATCAACAAGCTGAAAAATAAAACCAAAGTTTTTTTTTTTTTTTTAGATAATGTAATCTTGTTAAAATTGATTTCATAAAACTGGTATCGAAAAAAGTATCGTTCAGGAACCGGTATCGAAGTCAAGGTATCAGTATCGGTATTGATATCGGAAATTTTTGAACGATACCCAGCCCTAATCATGCTGAAGTATTTGTGTGGTACTGCCAAGTAGGGTTGAGAATTAAGAAGTATTTAGAATCAGTTGCATTTCAACCAGAATCATTAAATTCCTCATTAATTCCCATTCCTCTTGTTGATGCTGTGTCACAAAGGAAGAGGTGTGTCACCTTCTGGGAAGAGTCACTGATATTGGGCTCGTGTTTCTGACAGTAAGGGCCCTTCTTCCAGGCCTCTGTGTCGCCGCAGTCGCAGAATCCTCCTCCTCCTGAGGTGGTCATCTACAGAGAGCACAAAGAGCCACTTACTCACAAAGACAGCAGCACATGACAACTCAGAGCTGATCTCAAGCCTCTTACATCTGTATCTTAGAAATAACAGACCTGTCATTATCATGAAGGCATTAGTCAAGAGACTCATGATTGTCTGATCTAGTGTTCCTTAAAACAAACACAATTTCTTACACACGCTAAGATGGTTAAATCACATAGAGACACCACAAATTTTGGGACACATTATACACTTAACCCTATAAAGCCAAATAATATTGCCTGACATTTTACACACAAATTTCTAGGGACTCTAAATGATCTGATTTTTGCAAAGGTAAGAATAACTTTTATATTGCTACTAATATATGGACACTTACTGGACTGAAGCAACTTACTTGATTATCCATACATCATTTTTACAAAAATCATATTAAATTGTGAGCATCAAATATGATCAGGCTTTTAAGGAATGTTTATTTGTTCAGCTCTTATTATTTTATTGCGCTGCATTATATGTTTTGCCACCACAATAAAAACTACAGAGCCTTGATCATAAAATTTAAAATATATCATCTTAGTAAGACATTATTGAGAGATATAGAGAGAAAACAAATAATATTACTCTGCATTTTTTGTCAGCAGTCTGCTATACGGTTATAAAGATCTCACTGACCTACATTACGAGCTATCAAAGTTTCATCTTACTTTTTGGCTATATAAATATTAGCAACTGCACCAAATTGCATTTTTCCTCAGTTTGGTAGATATGAGGTGTTTTGTTTTTTTTTGCCTCTAGATCACACTATATTAGCCAATAAAGCCTGGTGCATCAAATATGATACTCCACAAAAATAACTCAGAACTAACCTTTTCCAGCCATTTTTGCAACTACCTTTACGATTTTTATTTTACTTTTTTTTTTTTTGTATGTCAACGGGCTGTTCATTTTGTTAGACTGGCTGTTTGATCTTCACAAATGCAACAGCTTCATCTGTCCTGTAACCTTTACAAGCCATAGCTGTGCACAAGGTGTTTGTCTCAGCTCCAGACTTATTTGTTCATTAATGACGTCATCAGCGACTAGTCGACTTCGACTCGACTTTCATCACATAAAAGTCGACTTCAAAAAATCAGAAGTCGTTCAACCCCTACTTTACAAAGATGTGCACCATGAGTAAAGTGACTACCGTGTATGTCTCTGTTTCCTCTTACCCTGTAGCGATGCTCTTTGTGAACGCTGCCTAAGAAGCACTGCATACACAGCACGCAGGTCGGATCAGCCGCACACTCCCTGAAAAGGAAAAATATCAAAGTGAATTACTTACAGAGTAGAACTGCAGATGTAAAAAAAAATACAAATAAAAAATATAAACAGTGAGCTGCCTACAATTAAACCATTTTTAGGTAGCACAGAGACAATCACAGATGAATGCTGCTCATTATGCTGCCTTTTTGATACCTCATTTTGGCCCAACTCTAAGGCAGCATGGCATGCATTCACATATAAAGCAATCCCAGTATTCACTTCAAGGGAATAACTCTGTTGCAGTGTCCCGATTCACGTGCTATCAGTCTTAAATAGTATTCGAACTTAAAATGAGTTTTTCCCAAATTGTAGTGTTGAAATTAAAGGTACCCGGACGGTTTACTATTTCCGCTGGAAATTCAAAGTGCAGATCCGTGAACACTCTAAGGGCTAGTATTGGCCGTTGCCCACTAAGCTTTGAATACATGATTGGCGGTCATTTATATAAAGGGGTTTGAATGATTAATAATCAATATCTAACCTGATGGAAAACTTTTATTTAAACTGCAATAACATTGTGAAATTTTATAAAGATACATTTGTGACCCTGGACCACAAAACCAGTCTTAAGGGTCATTTTTTTAAAAATTGAGATTTATACATCATCTGAAAGCTGAATAAATAAGCTTTCCATTGATGTATGGTTTGTTAGGACAATATTTGGCCGAGATACAACTATGTGAAAACCTGGAATCTGAGGGTGCAAAAAAATCTAAATATTGAGAAAATCGCCTTTAAAGTTGTCCAAATGAAGTTCTTAGCAATGCATATTACTAATCAAAAATTACGTTTTGAGATATTTACGGTAGGATATTTACAAAATATCTTCATGGAACATGATCTTTACTTAATATCCTAATGATTTTTGGCATAAAAGAAAAATCGATAATTTTGACCCGTATAATATTTTTTTGGCAATTGCTAAAAATATACCCCAGCGACTTCAGACTGGTTTTGTGGTCCAGGGTCACATTTGTCCATTAACTTTTAAATAAAGTTTAATGGACAAACTTGTCCATTAACTTTGCTAAAGTTAATGGACAAGTTTAAACTTTGCTAAAACATAAGAAATTCTCCATTTATACACCATTTATTTGTGAAAACGTTAAAAAAAAAAAACGAAACAAACTAAAATTGTTTAAAAGTTTTGGTAAAAATAAAAAAAGATTCCTAAATATTACGGTTTATATTGTTTGTTACTGGTAAAAGTTATTTGTGTTCACTTAGTGAAAAACCGAAAAACACAGCTAAATGTTATTTATTTCCATACAAGGGCTTTCCACACAGCCTTTCATAATTTCTGTGTGTGGTTTCAGTTGTTTGCAAATTTCGAAAAAAAAAAAAAAAATTGCCAGAAAGCTACACATGAATAATGATTTGTTTCATCACTAACTGTTGCTTAAAATTAGTAGACAGATTTCACTCAGGCGTACACGTTTAGTGAATGAGAGCCAATGATTCCTCCAATTAAAATAAATAAATACATAAAGCCATCTCAGAGCAAATACCAAAAAAAGAACTAGGAGAACTAGGGTTTGGATCAGAGCCAGTGCCACATTACATGACAGGATTGAAAATGAACACCTGCACACATTCTTAGGATGCAAGATATATTTCACACACCATTCACATCAGCCAGATAAGATCTGGCTGATGTGATAATACCAGCATAATGAAGCATTCAAGATATGTGTGAGCCCTTTTATTTGTTTCTCGAAGAAACAGAGCAGAACAGTACATACTCCAGTCACCTCCAGCCTCTTAGCCGGCTTACAGTGATCTTGCCTAAAGGACTTAACCTCACAGCAACCTGACCTAATTCAGCCAAGACTTCCATGTCTGTGGGAACACACTGACCCACAGTATCCCAGGTCAGACGGCTACAACGACTTCAACAGCATACACGCATGGCTGAAGACTTGCATAGTGAAAAAATTAATAAGTGTAATAAATTCAACTGACACATACACTACCAGTGAAAAGTTTGAAAAAATTAATACTTTTTAAATGTCTCTTATGCTGACTAAAGCTGCATTTACTTCATAAAAAACAATCAAAAACAGTAATATTATGAAATAGTATTACAATTTAAAAGGAAACATATTCAAACTGAAAACAGTTAAAATGCTATTTTTTCCTGTGATGCAAAGCTGAATTTTCAGCATCATTACTCCAGTCTTCAGTGTCACATGATCCTTCAGAAATCATTCTAATATGCTGATTTGCTGCTCAATTATCATCAATTAATTTTTAATTAATTAGCTTTTACTGCTTAATATTTTTGTGGAAAACATGACATTTCTCAGGATTCCTTGATGAATAGAAAGTTCAATAGAACAGCATTTATTTGAAGAGAATGATTTCTGAAGGACACTGACGACTGGAGTAATGATGCTGAAAATACAGGTTCAATTTTAAAATATATTATCTTAGAAAACAGTTATTTAAAATGGTAATACAATTTCTGTCTTTTTGATCAAATAAATGCAGCCTTAGTGAGCATAAGAGACTTCTTTCAAAAAAATGATGCCAAACTTTTGACTGGTTCCAAAACCTATTAAATCATGAACGTGCAGCTCACTACGCTTTGGAACAACGGCTTGTCTTTATTGCCTTTTGAAATCAAACAAATTAAGAATCATTGTGAATGCAGTCTAGATGAGAATCAACCCTTCTTTGGGCGGATCAGAAAGAGATGAAGTATTGACATTGTACCTGCAGGAGTACGTTGGCTCTCCCACTTTAAACACATGGCCACAGAGCTGTGAGGGCTGGTTGTTCTGTTCCAGCTTGGCCAATCCCACGGACGGCTCTTCCCCGCACAGGTACCACTCCAGCGGGCTCTGAAGTAGCAGCGGAGCCAGCAGGTCTTCATTCTGAGGGTTCAGGTTGGGGCCCAGGCAGTAGATCTTGGGGACGTAGCAGGCCAAGTGCTGGTACACCTCTTTGGGCAGGTTGCTCACCTGCAGCCATTTCTATGAACAGAGGGGCAAAATATTAGACACACACACACAAAAAAAAAATATAATAATAATTATCTGCTAATCAGTGCTATAGAGCAAAAGCAGAATCAGAGAGCCCAAAAAAATTAACTAAAACCATAATTGGCAAAGTAAACAGGTCAGGTGGACAAAGGTCAGGCTTGAAAGAGAACACTAGTGGTCAGGCGGCCAGTCTTTGATTGCACTGCTGTTTTATAATTGCATGGCCTGGAACGTGGTCATTTTCTAAAACATTTCCCACACAAGTTCATTTTCTTGCAAGTACTAAGCTGAACAATGACACAAAGATCATTCTAGAGGAGTGTGGTATGACCAAAACCTTATTTCACAATAGCAGTTTTTGTGGGTAAACATAAAAAAAGTTGGAAATAATATTAAATATACTTTTACATAATAAAAAAATATTAGTTACATAACCATGTGTTACTGCTCATTTCCAGAGAATTAAATGGGAATGGGAAACAAATTCATCACATTGTGTTTTTTCTCCTTTTCAAAATGTACATGTCAGATGAAGTTCAGGCATCAACCTTCACATTATTTATCCCTTAAATTAGACACAAAACAAAAGTATATATTTTTTTAAATCAAGGCAAGGAGAGTTTAGCTGTTTATAGCTGCCAAGACCTCACAACTTTATGCTTTAATATAGAATGCATCTGATGTTAATCTCATATGTATGTGTTTATAAACTACCATTTACTCTTATTCATCATCTATTTACTTCCTCTTGGCTATATTCTCAGGAAATATGGTATCCATTTTCACTGCTATGCTGACGACACCCAGCTCTACCGGTCTTCTAAACCCTCTAGTAAATCAGTCAAAAGTGAGAGTAAGGATCTAAAATGTTACAACAAAAAAAGTCTATTTCAAATCAATTGTTCTTTTGAGCCTTCTATTCATCAAATAATTCTGAATAATAAATGAACAATGTTTTCCACAAAAATGTTAAGCAGCACAATTGTCTTCAACGTTGATAATAAGAAGAAGAAATGTTTCTTAGGCAGCAAAGCAGCATATCAGAATGATTTCTGAAGGATCATGTGACACTAAAGACTGGATTAACAGCTTTTACATTTTATTAATTGTAATAATATTTCATTATATTACTGTTTTTATTGTATTTTTGACCAAATGCAGCCTCGGTGAGCATAATAAACTTCTTCCAAAAACATTAAAATAATCTTACCACAAACTTCAGTAGTATAGCCTAGTTTTTGGGAAAAAAAATAGCTTTTGTTGTAAAAGTGCTTAATTATTTAATAAACTCGGCTTGTAACCATCATGGCCATGACACAAGGAAATATGGCTACATAAAAAAAATAAATAAATAAATAAATTTTTAAAAAAAAACTTCATTAGACATTTTATAACAGCATCAAATATTTTTTATTGAGAATACAATCCCAGAATGCACTCGGAAAAAAACATTCCAGAAATATGACACTGGCAGCAACTTTTTTACAATTTAAAATAACTGTTTTGTATTTGAATATGTAAATGTGATGTAAAGCTGAATTTTCAGCATCATTACTCCAGTCTTCACTGTCACATGATCCTTCAGAAATCATTCTGATATGTGCTGCTCAAGAAACATTTCTGATTCATTATAAATGAGTAAATAAAAGAGACTTAAAGATCTTGTTTCACATTTTTAAATTAAAATCTTGATAATTAAAATAAAACCACTCTAATATAGGTACAAAGATGCAAATAGTGTTACAGTAACTTGGTACAATGCTGTAGGTTGCAAAATTATGAAGTCCTATCCAAGTCTTGCTCCTTGTGGATTAAATGTTTATTTCTGTAGTTCATTCGTTAGTTTCTGAGTTTTTACTGTCCGCTGTAGGTTGCTTTGTCACTGAGGGTTTCTTGTCACCATCAGTAGCTGCAGAAACACCATAGACAGTCATTTGATATCAATGGCAGTGTCAATAAAAACGAACAAAAATTGAACTGAAAAGAATTTACAATGAACCCATGTATGTTTGCACATGTTTTCACAAACGTTCATTATAAGTGCAGAGGTCTCTACATGTCTTGGGCTGTATCTGAGCAGCAAACTGTGGAGTTTCTTCACGTCAGCCTTCAGCTCACTCAAGTCCTGACTGTGCTTCTGCTGGTCTTTCTCAAGCCTGTGAAGAGTCTTGAGATGTTCTTCTTTCTCTGGAAGTGCAGCGCTTCTCCTTTTGTAAAAAACAAAACAAAAACAACAACAACGTTAGGCAGGCTTTCCAGGAACTTCCCATCAAAATACATAGATGGTAAAATGTAACAATCATGAACTTAGAAGTTTCAAGGTGTTTATCAACCAACCTTGTGGTATCTTCTCTGGCACATAGGCTAGCTGTTTTCACAAACGTTCATTATAAGTGCAGAGGTCTCTACATGTCTTGGGCTGTATCTGAGCAGCAAACTGTGGAGTTTCTTCACGTCAGCCTTCAGCTCACTCAAGTCCTGGCTGTGCTTCTGCTGGTCTTTCTCAAGCCTGTGAAGAGTCTTGAGATGTTCTTCTTTCTCTGGAAGTGCAGCGCTTCTCCTTTTGTAAAAAACAAAACAAAAACAACAACAACGTTAGGCAGGCTTTCCAGGAACTTCCCATCAAAATACATAGACGGTAAAATGTAACAACCATGAACTTCCCATCAAAATACATAGATGGTAAAATGTAACAATCTAAGACCAAGAAGTTTCAAGGTGTTTATCAACCAACCTTGTGGTATCTTCTCTGGCACCTGCATAGGCTAGCTGAGGTGAGAGTGTCTCTTTTTGGATGTTCAGATATTTATCTAAAGTATCCTGTAGAACATGCAAAGTTTCAGTTATTCTAAAATGTAAGAATGGACATGTGACAAATGCAACATGCAGTAGTTGTACAGTAGACACCTTGATCTGTTCTGTGAGCTTCTTCATCTCCGCATCTTGCCCCGGGTTAGAGGTGACATCATCGTCATAGAATTCTCCAAGCGGGGCACGATGCTGGTGGATGTACTCGTCGTCATAGCAACGTCTCAGACAAGGCATGGATTCCTCTATTTGCAGAATGATAGCAGCTTGTTGCATCACCGCATTGGCCAGTGCATTGTCATAGACCCTGTAAACGCAAACGTTCAACGTACGAGTTAAAGGAATAGTTCACACAAAAATGACAACTCTACCTAGCTGGTTTCAATACAATTAGAATTCACAGTGAACACATTTACAGTATCTTGCCCAAAAAAAGATTTTAAAAAGCACTATAAACGTTAGGAGTATATTGGACATTTCATTATGATACATTGATACTTTTAAAGGGATAGTTCACCCAAACAGTTGACGATGGCTTCTGTATGAAAAAAATACTATATTAAGTCAATGACTACAGTCAACTATATGTTTACCATCATTCCTCAAAATACCTTCTTTTATGTTCAACAGAAGAAAGAAACTCATACAGGTTTGGAACAAATAGAGGCACATTAAATGATGATCAAACTTTCATTTTGGGGTGAACCATCCCTATTGTGATATAATTAGATTCAGTTGCGATAATTATATCGCAACTGATATATCAATATTACACTATTATGTGCCTATTTTACACAACCAGTTACATTTTTAAAGGGGTCATATGATGCGATTTCAAGTTTTCCTTTCTCTTTGGAGTGTTGAGAGAGGGGGGGGGTGTCACATCACAAACACATACCAGCTTCATCACTGTGTCTGTCACGCGACTCTGTTCCCCTTTCGGGCTCTGTCTTTACATTTATTTTGAAAGATGAAGCTCGCGATTATGGTAAGGGGCGTTACATTTCCGACGAGTGCTTGCTTTTTTACCTTTAATAACTCACAAATTGAACTAAATATAACATAAACATGTACTTCCTTAAATTCGGTATCCCAGATCTGTCTATCTATCTATCTATCTATCTATCTATCTATCTGTCTGTCTGTCTGTCTGTCTGTCTATCTATCTAATCTATCTATCTATCTATCTATCTATCTATCTATCTAATCTATCTATCTATCTATCTATCTAATCTATCTATCTATCTATCTATCAGATCATATGCAACAATGACAAGTCTTTTGTACTCTCTAAAATGTGTCAATTCTAGTATATAGTATCCTAGAATCTCATTAGGACACAACAAAATAAGGTATACAACAATATATTTCTACAAAAAAAAAAAAAACTCAAATTATTTGATGACAGCTCAGTGACAATTTTATAGGTTGCTGCATCACCATAAAGGTGCATCTTAAAAATACATATAGATTTTTTTTATGTATTGATCATCATTTCATTAGTCGTTTGATCAATGCATCAATCCATATCAACGTATTGTTACACCCCTAATAAACATATCATAAAATGAGTAATTAATACCTTTGGAAGGTGTCAGAAAGCAGAGCAATCAGTAAATTGACAATAGCAGAGAGGGCCAGAAATGTTCCACAGAGCAGGTGTCACATCCAGCATGGCATCAGACTCATACTCGTCCACCAGGGTGATACGGTGCAGGAACCGTCTCCATACTTGGCACCTCAGCTAAACCTGAGAGCAGCAGACACAACGTTCATATCTCATGCATTTTTACATATACAGTTATATATTATGAGTCTTTGTGATGTACCTCCAAATATGATCCAGAAAGCACAGGCATATGGAACGAAGATCTCTAATACAGAGAAAAAGGAAACGCAGCACGTCTCCTGCAATCTTCCCCAGCATGACGATGAAGGGCCCCATCGCCCTACAGAATCAAATCAGACATTACCTGGAGTTCAATCATGTGTTGCATTTTAGGCTAATAAGAGTGCAAAGATCAGTTTTCAGAAGTAAAAACCATTAAAGAGACAAACTGTCTGTCATGATTTGCTAACCCTAAATGTTGTTCCAAACCAGTATGACTTTTTGATGTTGTTCTTTAAAATATCTTTGTGTTCTGCAGAACAATGTATACAGGTTTGGAACAACACAATTTGCACTTTTCTGTGAACAATCCTTTTAATTCTCACCACAGACTAACTGCACTGTAGTTTGTAGTTTGTAAGAGTACTTGTACTGTAGTTTATGACACAATTGCATAATTTGCAATAGTTTATTCTGTTTATAGAAGTACCATTTGGAGTCTGGAGTTTGTTTGTATGTTTGTTTATTTATTTAGTATTAAGTATTTTATGCCCACCAAGACTGCAATTATTTTTCATAACTACAGTAAAAACAGTAATAATTATTACCATTATTACCATTTAACTTTTTTAATGTAATTTATTTCTGCAATGGCAAAGCTGAAATCATTCTAATATTCTGATTTGGCGCTCAAGGAACATTTATTATTATTATCAATGTTAAAAACAGTTGTGCTGCTTAATATTTTTGTTGAAACCGATACCTTTTTTGTTCTTTTTTGTTTTGTTTGACGGATAGAAAGTTAAAAAAAAAAACAGCATTTATTTTAAATAAAACTATTTTGTCTTTTACTTTTGATCATTTTAACACATCCTTGCTGAATAAAGGTATTAATTTCTTTGAAATAAGAAATCATAAATCAAACTTTCTAATGGTAATGTATATTAGTACATAGTATTGTAGTTTCTTCTTTTTTTTCCTTTAAATCAAAGTAATGCAATATTGTGATTCATGTTGGAGCTGGAAAAAGCAGCCTAATTGTTGTTGGCTCTGCTTGATGAGCAAAATGATATCCCTGCATATGTTGAAATACTGTAGTAGCATTTAGAAATGACAGAGCACAGGGTGTGCAAACCCCCGCGTCCTTACGTTTCTATGATTACCGTAACACTGACCATATGTTCCCATGGTTACCTAGCCCACAAAGAAGAGGCCACCTGTGGAGTCTCAGTGAAACCTGAGATATGGAAGCAGTGTTATTTGGGCCACTGGCCAGGTGGCAGTATTCGGCTGCAGGCGCTCTGTGTGTCACAGCAGTCAGGAGACCCAAAAGGTGTTGACATTATATCTGAGTAACTGGTAACTGCCACTGACCAGGTGTTCCTATAGAGCCGAGGTTCCAGACATTTTACTCAGATGTCCACAGTGCCAAAAGTCATACGCTTCATCACCCCTATAAAAAAAAAAAAAAAACAGTTTATATTACACACACAAGCTTTTAAGGTGATGATTTTTTTTTTTTATGAAATCTCAAGCATACACATACAAATACACTAGCTTTATCCTGCATTCGTGGACGTTATTATTGACATTTCAAATTACATGCATTCATCTTACTTTTCAGTGTTTCCTTTTGTAAGGTTACTTTCAAAAAGATACATTACCTAAAGGCTCGGACATGCTTCATCAGCCTTAACCACAGGAAACTAATGGACACTGAAGAGGCGAAGACTGTTCTGTCGAAGTGAGTCAGACACTAGGAATATACCTGCCAAGTGGATGCCCAGAACTGCCAGCAGCAGCGAATAGACCAGCCAATCAAAGATATTCCTGCATCAGACATATCAGCATGTTTAGTCATAGATATAAATTCATTTTGCATGCTCTTTCACATTCTACTGTATATTAGCTTATAATGAGTACTGTACATTACTCTTGAGAGTAGGTTCCTTTCAGGTTTCGAATATACTTTATTTGGCCTTCCAAGTAATTGCGTTCCTTTTTTATTAAAAAAACAAAACAAATTGTGAGTTGTGTCCTTACAACTGTGTATTTTATTCTTGTGTTCTATTTTCCTGTTTAATACTGTAAAACTGCTTTGACACAGTATGTATTGTAAAAAGCACTATATAAATAATCGTGACTTTACTTGACTTGTAATGTTTTTGAAAGAAGTCTCTTATGCTCACCAAGACTGCATTTATTTGATCAAAAATACAGTAAAAACAGCAATATCATTGTAGTTTAAAATGTTCTATTTAAATATATTTAAAATGTAATTTATTCCTGTGATGCAAAGCTGAAGTGCGTTCCGCGTTCCCCTCGGGGGCCCCCCTCCATCGTCGGGCCCTTAGAATCATCCTAACCTTCCCCCCAAAACCATCCCCCTTCCGTGTGACATCAGTGGTTCAACTGTAAAGTTACGAAGCTACGAGAATACATTTTTGCGCAAAGAAAACAAAAATAATGACTTTATTCCACATTTTCGTCTCTAATGCATCACTTGTGGACGTTCGTTCACGACAGTATCATGATGCGATCGTGTGGCGGCGCTGACCCAGATCCGGCATAATTACTCTCGTAGCTTCGTAACTTTACAGTTGAACCACTGATGTCACACGGACTACTTTGTCGATCATCTTGGTACTTTTCAGGACCTTGAACGTGGTAGTTACCTTGCTGTCTATGGGAGGGTCAGAGAGCCCTCAGATTTCATCAAAAATATCTTAAATTGTGTTCCGAAGATGAACGAAGGTCTTACGGGTTTGGAACAACATGAGGGTGAGTAATTAATGACATAATTTTCATTTTTGGGTGAGCTAGCAGTTAAAAGACGCCAACGAGGAGGAGAAAAGGAGAGACGATAGATTCTTGTGGGCTAGTGAGCAAACAGCATCTGTCTTATTTTGTGTTTTTTTTTTTAGTTGTCTGTTATGTTAAATTGTTACTTGGTTGACAAGTTTGTCAATGTTGTTATACAGAGTGAGTGAATAAATAATTACTTCATTTACTCATTCTTGTTTGTTACATCATCTCTCTTTTTCTTGAGCCATTTGCTGAGAGGTTGTAACATGCAGTAAAATGGGAGCCTATAGTAGTTAAGAGGGTTTAAAAACATAACTATTCAGCTTGTGAGTAGTTATATGTATTTATTTAGTTTTTTAGTTAAAAAAAGTTTTTTTCAGCTTTAAAATCATCAAAATCAATCCTTTAATACTGGGGATACTTTTCTAGGCAGATGATCATCTTGTTATGTGTTCCCAATGTAATTCTCGTGGGTGGAGTATTTATTTATTTATTTACATTTTACAGACAAGGCTGTACAATTTTATCAAAAAATGTGGACACATATAATGTTTACATTTTATTTTTAGATTTTAAAGGGGTCATATGATGCGATTTCATTTTTTCCTTTTTTTTTTTACTTTAAACCGCATAAACACATTTCATTACACCAAATACACAAAATAATGTTCTTTTTAGCAGCATCATATGACCCCTTTAAATGTTTGTATTTGAACACTTTCCCCATTGTAAGTGAATCAGTATAAAGGATCAAAGGGAGAATGCCACAGATCATGACATTATAGATTTCCTTTAAATGTGATGTAATCTTCAGTATTAAAAAAAAAAATTTTTTTTTTTAAAGGGATTTGTTCACCCAAACATTAAAATTCTGTCATCAATTATTCATCCTCATATTGTTCCCAAGAGTTTTGATCATCAACACAAAACTGAAGATTGAAACCTGAGAGATTTCTGTACCTCCAGTAAAAGTCAATTCTACAAAAAATGTACTGCTTCAAAAATTTCATAAAAACATAAAAGTATAATGTTTATTCCAAATTTTTTGAAGAGATACGGCAGCTTTATATATGATGAGCAGATTTAATTGAACTCAGTATTGTGACTTTATTCACATATAAACATTGATCGATGCACATACATTGAACACCTCAAATATGGTCAAACCTCAAACAAAAGCTCAAATGGCTGATGCAAAGGTGAATAAATGATGACAGAATTTTCTTTTTTGGGTCAACTAACCCTTTAAAATACAAAAGTCAGAAACACAGGATCCATTTAAAAATCAATAGATTTCAATTGTGAGTGCAGTCTGTAAGCCTACAATCCTTATTTTTTTTTCACTCTTAAATAAGACCAAGTATAAGTGAGTGTGAACCGGTTCAGTGTTACCTCGGGCCACATAGGGTGAGAGCAGCTCAAGTCCTCATTGATTTTCTGCACAGTCCAGCGTTGCCAGTGCTTCAGTTTCCTCCTAGATCGCACAATCTCCATCACTTCCCTGTACACCCCAGCCACCGTCAGAACTAGAGCCAAAACCACCATCAACACACGCCACCAGTCCTACCAAGAGAAGTGCATGTACTGTAAACATATGTATGTGTATAAGCATAAAAATGTATATTCTAGATTTGTTTGCATTATGCATTCTCAATAATGATGTAGCACTAATGACATCCTCACTAATGCAGCAACACTGTACAGCAGTTTATGTGAAATATGCTTAAAGATGTGTACCGTGATGATGGATCAGAACCTTTTGAGTTTGTCCTGTCAGCAGGCTTTGGCTCCATGAGATGAAGGTAGTAGAACTGCTGTCAGGTCATTAGGTCTTTCATACGGAACTGATTCACTGCCAGATCAGCCTGTCAACACCAACATGAGGACTATTGAAAAATACACTAACATTCAAAAAATATCATTTTAATGGTCTTGAAGTCTCAAGGCTGCATTTATTTGATGAAAAATACAGTGAAAACAGTAATATTGTGAAATATTATTACATTTTAAAAGAACTCTTTTCTAAGTGAATATATTTTTAAAATGCAATTTATTTCTGTGATGCAAAGCTGAATTTTCAGCATTTTTATTCCAGTCTTCAGTGTAACACGATCCTTCAAAAATCATTCTAATATGCTGATTTGATGCTCAAGAAACATTTCCTATTATTATCAGTGTTGATGTGCTGCTTAATATTTTTGTGGAAACTTAAACTTAAGTATTAATACTTAATAAACTGTATTTATTTATTTATTTTATTTTGAAACAATGTAAAAGCCTCTCACTTGTGATACATTTAATGCATCTTTGCTGAATAAAAGTATGAGTTTCTTTATTACAACAATCTTAACAATACCTGTGGCCTGATGATAACTAACACAGATTAATTACCAAAATAACAGTTTAAAAGCAGATTCACTATCATGAATAAAATAAAATAATTCATTTATGTAAATGCATTTTTAAATAATTATTAAAATAAAATATGTATTTATTTACTTATAATATTTTATTTAATATATTATAATAATTATTTTCACTACATTATGCAACAAAACTGCAAACTACAGATAAAAAAGAAAAAAAAGAAAAGAAAAAAAAAAACTTTTTTTGCACTTGCACATCTAACATTTCTTTGATATTTTTTAAAACTTGAGAAAATTGTAGCGCTCCAAACAGGAACAAATAAGTCCTTTTGCTGCAGGTGCGTAGAGCCAATGCAATACTTGACAATGAACAAGAGAGTGGCTAACCACACACTGATCCACTCAAGACTGGAAAAGTCTACAAAAACATATTTTTTATTTTCTAAATTGCATCGTGCAAAAAGTGCATGTGAGTTAAAAACAGATGGACATGAGCAAGCAGAAGGCTGAAATGTCTGCTTGCTCGTGTCCATCTGTTTTTAACTCACATGCATCTTTTGCACGATGTGTAGATCAGTGTGTGGTTAGCCGCTCTCTTGTTCATTTTGATATTTAAAAAAAAATAAAGTAGCAATACTTGTATTGTGTCTGTCTTGGATTAATGGGTTTTGCTAGTATTTTAATGTCATGTTGGAAGCATCTGCTAAGTGAATACATGTAATGCCATAAATTCTGCTGATTAACTTGTTCTGAATCAATTACAATCCTTGATTCCTCACCACAGGGGTCATTTTAGCAATCATGGCAGTAATGCAGAGCTGTCCATCAGAGTCCTGCACCCCAGCATCTGCTCCAAACCCCAGCAGCAAACGCGCTGTCTCACTCCGATCTGTAACACACAGAAGTCAAAACATGTCTTAGACAGCAGTCAAGGTTTGTCCACTGTTAGAGCTGGAGGACATGCACAGATCAGGCCTGACTTTATAGAGTTATCTATATATAGAGTTAAGTTAGCAGCCAGCTGTAGAGGCGTTCTCTCTTTATAGTCTCGTACAGCGATGTCCGCCCCATTCTGCAGTAACATCCTCACTGCCCCGACAGCGTCATTCTTAGCAGCAAAGTGCAGCGGGGTCTGCTTGTCTTTATACGTGCGAGCTTCAATGTCAGCTGCCAATATAATAAAATATCAGAGACAAAATATACAGACAGCTGATTTCAGGGAAAATGAAATGAAATGAAATAAAATAAAATAAAAATAGTTTTTTTTTCTTCCAGGAAACTACACCAGTCAAAAGTTTGGAACCATTAATATATTTGTGACCCTGGACACAAATATAACCCTCAATTTTTCGAAATTGAGATTTATGCATCATCTGAAAGCTGAATAAATAAGCTTTCCATTGATGTATGGTTTGTTAGGATAGGACAATATTTGGCCGAGATACAACTATGTGAAAATCTGGAATCTGAGGGTGCAAAAAAAATCTAAATATTGAGAAAATCGCCTTTAAAGTTGTCCAAATGAAGTTCTTAGCAATGCATATTACTAATCAAAAATGAAGTTTTGATAAATTTACAGTAGGAAATTTACGAAATATCTTCACGGAACATGATCTTTACTTAATATCCTAATGATTTTTTGCATAAAAGAAAAATCAATAATTTTGACCCATACAATGTATTTTTGGCTATTGCTACAAATATACCCCAGCGACTGGTTTTGTGGTCCAGGGTCACATTTCTTTTAATGTTTTAAATGAATTTATTTTTTAAAGTCTCTTAGAAGTCACATTTATTTTCATCAAAAAATACAGTAAAAAAAGTAAAATTGTGAAATATTATTACAATTACAACTTTTGTATTTTAATACATTTCGAAATTGTATTAATTCCTGTGATGGCAAAGCTGAATGTTTTTTGTTTTGTTTTAGTTTTTTAGCCCTAAAAGATGCATATTAGTACCTTAACGGTACATATTAATACCTAAAGTGTAAATTAGTACCTTTTGAAAAGGTACTGCCTCAGTGACAGCTTTTGTACTCTTTATTTCTGAGATTGTACAGCCAGTTCTGAATTTTTCTGAACCCTGATAAACACAAATAAACACACCTCCCCTTTTTAACAGGAACTGCAGCATCTCCTCATAATCCAGAGCTGCGGCTACATGAAGAGGCGTCACTCCAAAACCATCGGCCCTCTGAAAATCTGCCCCCCTTTCCAGGAAAAAACGCATCACGTCCACGTTCCATGCCCGAGATATCTACCAATAAACACAAACATCTGTGAATGATTTACAATGTCACCTATATTCTCAATATTTGAACGTAAGCATCAGCTGAACATTTAAATCCCAGAATGACATTTGATGGCATATATGTCTTACATAAGCAGTCAGACATTAACCTCATGCAGGGCCGTTTATTTATCTGCTGAGTTTGGGTCAGCTCCATTCGTGAGGACATCATTCAGAAACTGCAGGTCCACCTGAAAGCAAAAATCAATATCATTGTGTGACACTGACAAATACAACATCATGTTCTCCCAAAGTTCACCAAAGTGGAGCCACATCATATGTTTCACAGGTTACCTCATCTGTGTCTTTAATGCTGGCCGCCAGGACTCGAAAGTGATCCAGAAGCCTTTTATTCAGCTGGATCTTCTTCTGTCCATCTACAGTGTCTTCATCCGTTGCCAGACCCTTATATTTGCTGCCTACATATTCCTCTAAAAAGACAACGATTTAGAGTTAGGATTGATATTAAACTCACAACATGTGTATCATAATAACTTCAGTTTTTGTACATCTATCTATCTCGATATAATCTTGTGGTAATGTATAGTCAGTGATGAAACTGTTGATGGTGCAGGCTGATAGGTCATCTACATGCAATCTGCTAGCAATCACATCATTTTCTACATGGCACAAGCTGATTGTCCTCTGCTAATTCTGCAGCCCCTGAGATTGCTTGCTCCTATTTAAATAGTCTGGTGGAGTGAACACTATCCACCTTATTTTTAACGTAAGAACATGCACGACCATTTGTAATTAGAATGTGGTTCTGGTGTCATTCACTTCAGTTTATTTTAGCTGTACAAAAAACTGTTATGTTACTTAATATTTGTTATCATCATATTATTTTAATATATTATAGTAATCATAAACACAACATTATGTAATGTAAATAGTATTACCATTTATTGCACTGTTATTCTTATAGTTATAGTCGTGGCTAATGAATCAGAAGTCTTGCACATTCAGAGGAAAATATTTTATGTCTGTGTTGTGGTCCTGCAGCACTATCAGTGTTCCTCTGAAACCCTCCACCTCCACCAGCTCCACCTGTCTAGATCTATGACAGGATGTCATGTATGCCTATTAATGCAGCAGCAGCGTGTTTTTTTTTTCTTTTCTTAAAGGGTTTGTGACATGAGAAATCAAATTTGCCTTGATCTTTTGGCATATAAGAGGTATTTGGACCATTAAAACATCCTGCAAGTTTCATAGCTGAAAACGTCCTCCTCATTATAAACATTATAAGCATTTATTTAATCAAGCTCCAAAAATGGCTCGTTTTGGATCCGAGGGGCAAGGTGACGTCACCTGGGCACAGTCGTTTGCATAAACACTGTCTCCAGAGCAAGACATTGACAAATAGTCTTCGTCTCACCATAGGCCCCGCCCACTGGCGTTCAGCCACTTAACGGCTTGAAACTTGATCAGGCTGAATGTGAGTGTCACATTGCGTCAAAAGCAAATAGAAATTACAATCACTGCCGCTATCTTGTCTACACTGGACAGTATACAGATGCGCATCCGCTTTCTGACAGGACAAATGGAGTGAAAGAATTTTCGCTTTGACGCGTTTGGATTAAACAGCTCGTTTGCGTCTTTGTACAGATATCAGAAGAATCCCAGCGTAAGGAACAAGTGGACAGTTTATTTTTAATGGCATCACGTCAGAGGATTGTTCAGAACATTTTGCTTTGTAAATGAGGCACGGTGTCATGGAGAGTTCACAAAGAAACATTTGTTGAAAGATGAAGCGGTACTAGATCTGACTGCAGTTGCATCACAAACCGTAAGTAAATTATTTCATAATGCTTTGTCTGGAAATTACCGTTTTTTTTTCGTGTAATAATTGTTTCTTCTTCTTTTTTGTTATCAGCTATGTACATATTATATCATATATATTTATATAATTTATATTATATAATTTATATTACATCTTAAATTGTTACATTAATGTTTATTGGATTATTTTAGTGTCAGTTACTAATATATCACTATTTACGTCAGCTTAGATTCTACATGGCTCTCTTCTTACCGCGATTTTTTTTTATTACAATATTTTTTTATAGCTATTTAATTTATTACAATAATTATTGGTATATGAATACCAATATTGGTATACATTGGTATATATTATATCAATTAATGAAATATACAGTTGAAGTCAAAAGTTTACATACACCTTGCAGAAGTTGCAAAATGTTAATTATTTTACCAAAATAAGAGGGTGTCACAGCGTCTAGTTGGTGTGCCCATGTATAGCCACTAGAGGGCACGCTTCTTAGTTTTGTTTGTTTCTATGGACTTCAGTTCTCATCACCCTTTGCCTTGACTATCAAGCCTCATTACATTATTGTGTCCCATTTACCTTGTTAACTCATCCATATAACCCTGGTTTTCTTTGTCTTTGGTTGCTGGTTTATTGATTACTGTTACGTGTTTTCTGTTGCTTTGTTTTGCCCTTATGTGGATTATTCTGTTTGTTGTTTGGACTCTTCAATAAATGCTGCATTTGGATCTTCTCGATTTGGAGCATTCCGTGACAGAATAAACCAGCCATTAACAGATCCAGCAGCTAAGCTGGGCTTATCGGATTGTGGACCATGGGCATTTGTATTCTTCCTCCTGCTTCGAAGAAGGAGCGGAAGGCTCGGCTCCGGATGTTGGCGGATCTTCGCTAACAGGGGATGAAAGTGGGAGGTTTTGCTCAGACCTTCTGGACTTCGGCGGTAGGACTGGAACTTAGTGAGTCCGAGCTCAGAAAGACTTTTAATGACTGCCTAGACAATCCCTTGCCTCCTCGGGAGATGGAGGGGCTTAAGACTGTTGACTTTTGGAGTTTTATTGATTATCTCTGTTACCGCAACTTAGTAATGTCATGTCAGTCTGAGTCCACTGCAGTGCTCCCGGAGATGCCCGAGCCCGCTCCAGTGGATGGTGAATCTTCACTGTCTCAGTCTCGCAAGCAAAGGTCAAGAAGGAAGAGGGCAGCAAGGTCCACTCCAGTTCTCCCGGAGCCCGCTCCAGTCCTTGAATCTGCGCCCGAACCCGGGCTCCAGAGTCTGATCCAACTCCGGTGGTCCTGGAGGACCCGACTCCGGTGGCCTCGAGTCCAGTGGTCCTGGAGGACCCGATTCCGGTGGTTCCTGGTCCGGTGGTCCTGGAGGATCCGACTCCGGTGGTTCCTGGTCCGGTGGTCCTGGAGGACCTGACTCCGGTGGTCTCAGAGGTTGCCACAGAACTGCCCAATTTCACTGATGCTGCCATAATCAAGAAGGCCGTCTTTGCCTTTGGCCTCTGGGCTGTTCTGTGTGCATGGGAGCATTCCGAGTCCACTCCAGAGCCCGCTCCAGACCAGGAGCCTTCAGAGTCTACTCTAGAGCCCGCTCCAGCCCAGGAGCATTCAGAACCCACTCAAGAGCCTGTTCCAGCCCGGGAGCATTTAGAGTCCACTCATGAACCCGCTCCAGTCCGGAAGCCCTCAGAGTCCACTCCAGAACCCACTCAAGTCTATGGTTTCACTCCAGAACCCACTCTAGTTTAGGAGTTTACTCTGGAGCCCACTCAAGTCTACGAATTCATTCCAGAGTTCGTTTCAGTCTACGAATCCACCCCAGAGCTTACTCAAGTTTATGAGTTCACTCCTGAGCTTGTTCCAGTCCAAGAGTCCACTACTGAGTCTGCTCTAGTTCCTCCCGAGGTGGTGATTTCTGCTGTGGAGCCTCTCGAGGCGGCGGCGTCCGCTTCAGCTCCCCTCTGGGCGGTGGCGTCCACTCCTGAACTCTCAGTCTGCCTAGTCATGGCCAAGGAGACTGTTGTTGAACTGTCTGCCTGCCCTATTTCGGTCGGGGAGACCGTTGCTGGACTGTATGCCTGTCATGTTGCAGCCATCGAGGCTGTTACTAACCTTTCTGTGCTCTTCTTTGCAGTCCTGCCTGAGCTGCTAGGGGGTTCATCGGCCTTGTTGGCTCCGCTGAGGTGGTCGTCGGCACCGCCTTTGCTGTCTGCCAGGCTCCTGGCTCTGCCCTGGTTGCCCGCTGGGGTTGTTGTTCGGCCGGAGCCTCACTGGTCTGTCCCTCCGGTCCCGCCTTGGCCTCCTGCCTTGCCGGCCCCGTCCTGGCCTCCTGCCCTGCCCTGGCCCTCTGGCCTACCTCTGTTTCTAGACCTCTTTCACTACATGGACCTGGCCCGCCATCCCTCCCCCTGGTCCGCCTCCCTCCGGGATTTCATTGATTTTTGGTAGCGTCTGGTATCCGCTCCTTAGAGGAGGGGTAATGTCACAGCGTCTAGTTGGTGTGCCCATGTATAGCCACTAGAGGGCACGCTTAGATTTGTTTGTTTCTCTGGACTTCAGTTCCCATCACCCTTTGCCTTGACTATCAAGCCTCATTGCATTCAGCTGTGTCCAATTTACCTGGTTAACTAATCCATATAAGCCTGGTTTTCTTTGTCTTTGGTTGCTGGTTTATTGTTTACTGTTACGTGTTTTCTGTTGCTTTTGTTTTGCCCTTATCTGGATTACTCTGTTTGTTTTTTGGACTCTTCAATAAATGCTGCATTGGGATCTTCTCGTTTTGGAGCATTTCGTGACAGAGGGATCATGCAAAATGCATGTAATTTTTTTTTAAATTTAGTACTGACCTGAGTAATATATTTCACATAAAATATGTTTACATATAGTCCACAAGAGAAAATTATAGTTGAATTCATAAAAATGACCCCGTTCAAAAGTTTACATACACTTGATTCTTAATACTGTTACCTGAATGATCCACAGCTGTGTTTTTTTGTTTAGTGATAGTCGTTCATCAGTCCCTTGTTTGTCCTGAACAGTTAAACTGCCTGCTGTTCTTCAGAAAAATCCTTCAGGTCCCACAAATTATTTGATTTTCCAGCATTTTTGTGTATTTGAACCCTTTCCAACAATGACTATGATTTTGAGATCCATCTTTTCACACTGAGGACAGCTGAGGGACTCATATGCATCTATTACAGAAGGTTCAAACACTCACTGATGCTCCAGAAGGAAAAACGATGCAGTAAGAGCCGTTGTGGGGTAGGGGTATGGGGGGGTTAAAAACTTTTTTGATTTGAAAAATTAGAAATTTGAAAATTAGGGTAAATTTAACTTATTTTGTCTTCCGGGAAACATGTAAGTACCTTCTGTAGTTTCTAAAGGGCAGTACTAAAAAAAAAAATTTAAAAAAAAGATATTTAGGCAAAATAATAAAAATGTACACATCTTCATTATGTTCAATAGTTTTCACCCCCGGCTCTTAATGCATCATTTTTCCTCTTTTCCTCATGCTGAAAATTGAGCTTTACATCACAGAAATAAATTACATTTTCTAAAATAAAATAAAACAGCTAGGTGAGAAAAACCTGAAACACTTTCATTGTGATTATTAAGTGCAGTCAGTAATACTCCCATTAGCAAATCAATATTTTGGAATTCGATGACTTAAAGGAAAACATGACTCAGTATTTCATTAAAACATTTTAATAGCACTAGAATTTTATTCCATCACACTCAAAATATGTGTGGTTGCCACAGATACTTTTGAATGTCGGCAGCATTTCATGATATGTACCTCACAACAGTGCTAATGATTCGACTTGCTAATGATTGGCTAGAGTCCTGCTAGGTTTCCATTTGGCTTCATTTCCTGAGTTTAGCTCTTGGTGAGAGCGTATCTGGCTCATCCGAACCAGTGGTTGCCCATGCATTCTCTGTTCCACTCCACACGACAGAGCCAGCACCATTCAAACTTACACTGCGGACGCGGACACACCATGTGCATACAGCCACCTGAGCAACATAAGAGAGGACAAGACAAGAAACTGGATCTTTACAGTGCAGTTTTCAAGGTAAAAGATAAAAACAAATATAACTTATCAATGACTGAGCAGTCTGTGAGATATTGTAAATACACAAGCATTCAGTGTACACACACAGTATAATATAATTTTTTTTAAAACAGTACACTCTTAAAAATAAAAGATGCAAAAGGGGTTTTCACAGTGATGCCCTGAAAACTTTTTGGGGTTCCCAAAGGGTTAATGATTAATTAAGCAAATTGTGTTTTGTTATTGTCAGAAATGTAAATGATTAAATATAAAACATATTATAAATATATTCACATAGGTTAATTTTAAATACAAATGTAAACATTTTATATATAATTATAATAAAATATTAAATATTATTAAAATGTGAATTATATGACAAAATACTAAAGTAAAATCATATTAATATTTAACTCTTAGAAGAATAAAATATTCCAGAATATGATGTTAAAAATCACTGATATTTTTCCAGGTTTATTCGTCACACTGAAATGGAAATGCAAGACTAATATAAAAGCACTGCATTGTGGGATACAGTATTTCACATGGTGAGTTCTGTATACTGCACTTTGTGTGGATAATGAATTAGATTAGGGGTTAGATTAGGTATTATATTCTTTGTTACCAACAACATGAATTGCATTAAACATGACATTTTATCAGGGTTTCCCAAGTTCATGAAGGAACTGCAGGAGGTTTGTACATTGATAAAATGCTAACAATCATTTAAAGGGACAGTTCACCCAAAGATTATCATAATTTACTCATCCTCATGTTGAGAAAAATTTAAGGGGGTCTGAATACTTTCCGTACCCACTGTATAAGCCATAGGCTTTTTTAGAAAGGATAATAAAAAATAAAAAAAGTATTTCTGTCATGACAACATGTACATAACAATGTTAATGTATTTGGTCTTGGCAGAATAGATTTGCTACGCTGCTGCAGAACAAGTACCGAGACTTGCTACTGCCAATACATCCACAACATGCTGTGAGCATGTAAGAAATTTATAAAGATATTCACATAGGTTAATTTTAAGTACAAATGTAAACATTTTATATATAATTATAATAATATATTAAATATTATTAAAATGTGAATTATATGACAAAATACTAAAGTAAAATCATATTAATATTTAACTCTTAGAAGAATAAAATATTCCAGAATATGATGTTAAAAATCACTGATATTTTTCCAGGTTTATTCGTCACACTGAAATGGAAATGCAAGACTAATATAAAAGCACTGCATTGTGGGATACAGTATTTCACATGGTGAGTTCTGTATACTGCACTTTGTGTGGATAATGAATTAGATTAGGGGTTAGATTAGGTATTATATTCTTTGTTACCAACAACATGAATTGCATTAAACATGACATTTTATCAGGGTTTCCCAAGTTCATGAAGGAACTGCAGGAGGTTTGTACATTGATAAAATGCTAACAATCATTTAAAGGGACAGTTCACCCAAAGATTATCATAATTTACTCATCCTCATGTTGATCCAAACCTGTATGAGTTTATTTCTTCTGCTGAACACAAAAGAAGATATTTAGAAGAATGTTGGTAACCAGTTGACAGCAGCCATTGACTTCCATAGTTTGGGGAAAAATAAATAAATAAATACTATGGAAGTCAATGGCTACCGTCAACTTTTTAGTTGATATCTTCTTTTGTTTTCAACAGAGGAAAGAAACTCATACAGGTTTGGATCAACATGAGGGGGAGTAAATGATGACAGTTTTTTCTTCTTCTCCGGTGGGTGGGTGAACTGTCACTTTAAATCACAAAAATATAAGATAAAAAAAATAAAATAAATAAAAAATAGAACAGATGAAATATTTACCTGTATGTCATGTGACCATTAACTGACCGTGAACATGCAAATGTGTTTTTAAATTCCATAAATCAAAAAGCCTTTTCAATTGAGTTAGACCTATCGGACTGCACCATCTAGAGTTTCATGCCAGAACTTTGTATTTATGAATAATTTACTGCCATTGTGTCAATATTACGCAATCATGTAATATAAAAATGTGACTATTAAAAATATAATATAATCTAATTACAAGCACTTTCGTAATCTGATTATGTAATCCAGATTACATGTAATCAGTTACTAATAGTATTAATAGTCCTTGACAAACTAGATAAAGGTAAAAACTATTCATACCATTTTTTTCCACAGGAACTTGGCATTTGGGGCAGGGGTGAGTGGTTTCGGCTATAGTCTCCTGTGAGGCCTGTTCCCAGCGAGCACGAAGAGCTGCCTCTTCATCTACAATATAACCCTGAAACACACACACACACACACAGCAGGGATCAAACGCAGCAAAGTGAGAAAGACAGATTTGATCTTAAAGAGCTTTAAATTGCGCTCTTATATGATTCTTTTATGAATCAGGTGATTTGTGAATGGCTTGTAGGCATTGTCCTGCACTGACACCATTACGACTAGAATCTCTGGGCTGCTCGAGAATATTTAAGCAGATTTTCACCTTGTGGGATGACTGATGATATCTAGCCAACATAAATTGAACTGTCTCCATGCATATGTGATGAACTAATATTAAAAGTGTGAAGTCCTCACCTGCAGGGCACTTCCTGTTGCTGTGTGTGTCCTCTGTCTGCAGGGGCCCTCGTGATACTCTGCCTTACAGTCCCTGCAAAACACAAACTGACACAAACAGCAAACCACTTACTACTGACCGCTACAAGCCACAGCTTGTTAATAGTAAAGTGTATGCTATTTAGCATTTTATAATTATGGTAACACTTAAACGTGAACCCTTTATGCACAATGCCCTATATAGATATCCATAATGTATGTTGAAAGCCATTACATCTTTTCATAAATAGTTGTTAAATGAATTAAAAGCATTTGCAGAGACCATGTTACATCTGAAATTAGATGTTAGCCATGTGTTTTCATGCATTACACTTTCTAAAGGCGTAACAGTGCATATATAAGTATTATAATGTATTATAACTAAGCTCATGCTAATACAATATATAATGAATGCATTCAAATTCTTTTATATTGCTTTGTATATAAAGGCTTAAGGTCAAGTGCTATCTTAATGGCTACTTTTCATTAATTCTGTGCATTTTTACCTTTAGCAGTCTGGTCAAATATTAAAAGATTGATGCTAAAGAGATACACACACACACACACACTTTATAATAATGAAAAACGAATTATATAAAGAACATACTGTATATACAATATATAAAATAATACAAGTAAAATGACATTGCATAACATGTTTCACCCTTCTTACATTACTTGATGCTCAATATTGTGTTTTATTGAAATATGTAATTTTATAGATGGAAAATGTGTTGCTATGTTATGTCAAAATGTGATGTCATTTTATGTTGTCTTTACAGGTCAAACGGAGGATACTTACAATAAAATACTCTCACTATTGCAGCTTAATGTGCCGAGACAACTAGAAGTGTTATTTTAGTATTATTCATAAACTATTATAGTATTTGTTAGTGCTTCTGAAGAAGCTTTTTTTATATTTATATTAAAAGTTTCAGTAATTTTATTATGTGCTTTTGTCATTTTTATTCTTCTTTTTTAAATATTTCTATATACTTTTATTTTCATTTTAGCACTTAAACTTGTATTTCTAATTTTCATTGAAGTTTTTCATCTAATATTAATATTTATATTTAAAAAAAGTTAACAACACTGACTATAAGCAAGCCATTTCTCACAGGTTGAATTCCCTTAAAAAACTCACACTTTGGCTTTGTGGTGTTTTCTAAATGTGTGGTCTGACACTGCTTGATCTATTTGAATTATCATACATTCTACAATTACAGTTTATGATGCAAGTAGCACAGATGCATATTCATGCAGCACCCCAAGCACACACAAGGGGGCAGGCTTTCTCCATGCTCGTCCTGTCAGCGAGCGTTTTAAGTGGGGTTT